CCAGAGAGGTGGAAAAGAAAGCCAGGCAAAGCACCTCATGTGAAAGCCCAGCAATCCCAGCCTTCATCTGGAGAAAAAGGAGGTTCATGCAGGTTGAGCTCCACAAGGGTGGGTGCCCAGCCCATGGCTGAGCGCAACTGGGGGCACGTTTTATTTATAAACTTTGTAAACCCTCTCCTGCCTAATATAAAGCCCAAAATGAAAGGCTTGTGCTTTCACAAGGGAAATAAGTATTCGTGTTACTTGATAATAGTTCATTCTACCAGTGTGCAGAGGCTCGGTGGCATTTGTGCAGGGGTTTGTTTGTGGTGACACTTGTACAGCACCAAATCAGCACTGGGAAGCTGTACTCTGCCCTGCAGTGCTATCAAATTTTGGTTTGTGGCTTTGCCACAGTAAAACCAACTGCTTCTACGTCGTAGGTCTCCAGCTTTGAAAAAATTTGTGGAGTAAATGCAAATGGGGGAGCCCTGAGTTGAGACCCCTGGAGGCAGTGACATCTGCCTGTCTTTGATAAGAATTTCTGAGAGTGAGAGTAAAGTACTTAGAGTGAAATTAAAAGCTTTGATCTGGTTTTTTGTTTCATCATTATTTCATGTCTGAGGCCTTCACATGTGCCTTTCAGTTCTTTATTAGGCTGCAATGTTTAGTTACTGCTCCAGTGCAGGGCAGGAGCAGCCAACTGGCAGTGCCAGGGCTCACCCCCTGGCTCCAGCCTGAGCCCAGCCTAATAAACAGGTGACAGACACGCATCCAGAGCAACACTGTCCCCAAAATAGTGACCCCCTGGCCCCAGCACATGGGGTAGCCCTGTGTGAGGCAGCCCCAAATGCTCAGGGCACACAGCAGAGGTGATGACAGAATCCCAGAATCATTTTGGTTGGAAAAGGCCTTTAAGATGAAGTTAAACCACTAAACTGAAAATGCCGAGCCATGTCCCCAAGTGCCAGAGATGAGTGTCTTTTAAGTCCCTTTGGGGATGGTGACTCTACCATGCCCTGGGCAGCCTGTTCCTATGGGTTACAACATCTTTTTTCAGTGAAGAAACAGCAGCAGCATCTCTTTTTTGTTGTTTTCCCATTTCCCTGGCCAGAATCTCTCTATCAAGCCTGTAGTATGTTTTTTCTATCATGACAATTTAATTTTTTGCTTGCTTTTTTAAGGTTGGTGGGGGGGGAGAACCCAACTTTTGCTTTAATGATCTTCACCATGGTAAACTTAAAAGTGTCTTACAGCAGCAGTCTGGCATTTACTGTTTGCACCAGTCAGTCGCTAGTGATTGATCTCAAAAGCCAGGCTTCATTTTCTAAGCAAAATAAGCTGCAGTTGGCAAAACCTGATTAAAGTGAGTGGGTTTTTATCTGATGTGGCTGTTGCCACTCATTTCAGCATAATGACTTTCTTCTCAATTACAGAGGACCTGCAGAACACATAACAAAATGTATGGCTCAGTTTATAAGGCACTCTTCTAAAAGTTTAAGCGATCCTAATAGGCCATCAAACTGCTAAGAAACCTGCTGCCACCTGGAATAAACTCCTGATACAGCTGCTGTGGAGTTTGTGTTGTCATCCTTCCTTACATTAAGGTCTGCCACGAGAGAAGGTGCTGATGTTACTGTTAAATCCATCATGCAAAAATTGCATGATGTGATTGTGGACTAAATGTTAAAAAAAAAAAAAAAAAAAAAAAAAAAAATTGAGGCGTCTTGACTTTCCTTCCTGATTTTTGAGCATTTAGGTCCTAATGGATCCACTGTGGCTTCTCCCTCTAGGAATGATGGACTAAGGAGAGCTGGAAGGGATCCACAAGGATCAGGTCCAACTCAGCCCTGCCCATCCTCAAGAGCATGAAGCCCAAAACCACCCAAGATCGTGGCACAAACAAGCCATGCCAGCATTCCTCCTTCTGCTCTGTGATACTTCCCATGAGATAGAAGAGGTTTTTTTTCTCATTTCTGAGGGAGGGGAGACAGTGAGAGGAGGAAGAGCAGGTGAAATTCCACGGGAAGAGGCGCAAATACAAAACTGACGGGCTCGGAGACAACAGGCTCTATTCCAGTGGCTATGGCAGAGCAGCTCGTCTGAGAGGGAACTAACGGCATGGGAAAAGGTCCTGTGCACATGAAACAGTCTGCCAGGGGAAAAGAAAGAGCTCTGAAGCTGTGAAGTCTGGCACAGCTGTAAAAATAACTTTGGCTTGGGAGGGGAGGCTGGGAACCCTGCAGCTCCTGGTTCCTTTCCAAGACAATGCCCTGTGCCACAGCGAGGGCCACGGAGACTGAGGGCTCCTACAAACCTCCACCAAAGCCTCCATTTAAATTACTGTCAAAGATTAAAGGCTACCCTAAGCCTACGCTCCCTTGCAACTGCATTAATTATTCAGGCAACACGCAGAGCTCTGTAATTGGCTCCTGTCTGACAGCACAGGGCTGAGTTTGTAGGTTAGGGTGGTGCCAGACAGCTTCTGATGATGATTACATACAATTTTGGGGTTTGCTGGTGTGGGGGAGAGGTGTCTTCTAATACTGGAAGCAGTGTTAAAAAAAAATCAGGCTGGGAGGGAGGAGGAGGCAGCTGAGCTGTTGGGAAAGCAGGGGCACAGTGCTGAGCCCCCATGGTGACTGCAGCCCAAAATTAAGTGGTGGCACTGCCAGCAAGGGAAGACGAGGCAACACACCCCCAGACAAAGAAACCACAAACAACAAACTCTTTTCTTTATCTCCTACCCCTGACAATAAAAGCAAACATTGAAGACAGTGGTGGAGAAATCAACACAAATTTCTCCCCCCCCCCCCCCAGCCAGAGTCTGGCCAGGGAAGGACGTGCTGTGTCCCCTCGCAGCCAATACCACCACGAGACCACCACCATTAAATTGTCAGTCAAGTTTAATGCATCATAAAGAAGTAAAACTACATTGGCATATTTAAGACAAACACTTTTTTTTTTTCCTATGCACACTATCCACTGGACAGTCCCCTTTTCAAAATAACTACTTTTAACAGTCCAAGACAGTTCTTCAGAAATTCTTCACGTATTCAACCTTCCACGCTTTTCCTTTTTTTTTTTTTTTTTAAATTCATCTGAGAAGGAAAAAGAAAACTCATTAAACCTGAAAACATTTACTTTGCAAGCCACGTCAGAATGCATAATTGGCATACAATAACCAATGTATAACAATTGTGTTTTTTTCTTTTACTTAGTTCACTTTGTTCATCAATAAAAGAATATAAAAATCTTGTTCAACCGAGTGTTGTGTATTAAAATAGATTTGTATAGTACTGCACAGTTTCTCCCGGAGTTGTGAAAATGGTTGAAGGGACCACGTGCTGCCGAGTGATGGGCGACGGAAAAAGCCAGTCCCTCGCGTGGGCTTTTTCTTTCTTTTTTTTTTTTTTTTAAATTAAAAACAACGACAACGACAACAACAACAAAAAAAAAGAAGATATTCGGCACCATGTGATATGTTGATGTGAGAGGCCAGCCTTGTGTCGTGCTCTGGTGGCTTTCCTTAAGTACCTGTTGTGCTGATTGACGGAGACCTCAGAGGGGACAGGGACGGGGGCACCTGGGGGTGCACTGGGAAAACCGGGGTGCCCATCACTCCCTTCCCAGGCAGCCACAGGGCGGGGGATCGTGGCCTGGTGGGGCCAGGAGGGCCCTCGCAGAATCAGGAAGACTATCTAGTGAAACCAGCAGGTGCGCTGGGGTTTCCTCAGGCTAATGCTAAACGCTCCCCAAATATGCTAAAACCCAACAAAACATTAAAAAAGAATCAAGTTTCCAAAAAAAAAACCCCACCCCTTTCAATTTTCCATGCCCTGTCCCTTCCACAGAACTCTTGATATTATCCAGTTCCAGAAACAACCCCTTGAGGCAGTTTTTTTTTTCTTTTCCTGTACCATTTCAGCAGATATTTCTACAAGCAAAAAAAACCCAAACAAAAAAAAAAAAAAAAAAAAAAAAAAAAAAAAAAAAAAAAAAAAAAAAAAAAAAAAAAAAACCAAACCCCAACAATTTAAAAAAATCACGCTACTTATTTTTAACAATAAAAATGCAGTACAAAAATGTAAAGTTATCTTTTTGGCATATTATCTGTACTGTCAAGAAACAAAATCCAGAATATTTATTTGCTTTTTTTCCTTTAAGAAAAAAAATAAATCCAAAATTAACAAAACAAAAGAGAAAAAAAAAAAAAAAAAAAAAACAAAAAAAAAAAAAAAAAAAAAAAAAAAAAAAAAAAAGAAAACCCCAAAATAATCCCTTTAAAAAATGAAACCCAACCTGCCAAAGATATCCACTATCATGGTTTATGCTAAATCTTGCACAAAAACTCCATGAGAAAAATACACTGATAGCAAAATAAGTAAAAAGGACCTGCAAAAAAGTAAGGAGTTTTACAGTCATACTTCTTTAAATACTTCAGAACGCATATACAGAAGCATCAGCATGAAAATACTTCAATATTTTACTAGAAACGCTAACTTCATACAGTTTCTTTATTTAAATATCTGCAATTCTCAACTCTAATAATACTGAAAAAAAAGATCTTTTGTTTCGAAGGCTCTGTGAGTGTCCATGACGGCCCCGAACCCACGGGGCCAACTTTGTTCCTCTGAAAACAATCCGTGTCAAGTCCTAAGTAGTTCAGTTCCCGCTTATCTCGGGGATCCCAATTCCCCTCCCACACACAGCTTTCAGCCCCACTACTTCCCTACTACCTCACTAACTCTTTGCATTGACAATTCCCCCCTTAAAGCAGGACAGAGAGCCTGCCTGCCCCCCACTATCCCTGTCCCTCCCGGCCGCGCTCCTCCTGCTCATCCTCAGGCGTAAAGACAATTAAGGCCAACAGAACAAAACAAAATCTCATAAGCACGGAAGGTCCTGGCAGACACAAAACCGCAGCACAACCCGCTCCGTGGGGGAACCCGCTGCCACAGCGACCTGCAAACTGGGCTGACTGGTCTGCAAGTCTCTATCCAAACTGAGATTGCTCCTCCCCTCCCGCGTTTTCCAGTCTGATCTCTGCTCTGCTCACGTGCAGAAAGTTCCCGGTGCCCCTTGGCCGGCGCTGTCAGTTGTTGCCCTGCGATGGCTGCAGGGCTTTGTGCATGGCAGCGGAGCCAGGGGAGGGCTTGATCCAGGGCACCGACAGCAGGGAGGAGGTGGTGGTGGTCGTCATGGTAACCTGAATCATCTGCTCGCTTTGTATCAGTCTAATGAGGGTTTTGAGACGTTCCAGTGATGACTGAGTCCCTTTCTGCTGGGCCAACAGGCTGGTTTTTAGCTCTAAGCATTTCTGTCAAATAAAGAGAAGGAAAGGCTGAGAGCACATTCAAATTGGTGTCAAACATCTCCCCAAACATCCTTTTGTGCCTTGAGTGCACGTCCTGCTCAAATGAAGTATATTCTCCTTTGGGGATAGCAAACCCACAGCTTAACAAATGGAGTAATCACCAGTGCTGCACACACCGCAGCAGCTGTCTGAGGGAACAATATTCTTCCCAGCCCAATCGCATTTAGAGGACATTTCCAAGCTCATCCCGTGGACAGCCTGGCACAAACACCTTCTGCACACACTCCACAGGGATGGCTGCCATGGCAGTGCAATAGCTGTGCTAATGGAAAGCACCAAAGGCACCAGTGAGGTCTCTCAATCTCACCAAAAGGCACTGATAAACCCTTGAGGTGTAAAACCCACCACAATGTGTTTTGTACGTGACACACACTTCAGGGAGTCAGAACTGTGAAGATGCATTGATCTCACCAAATGTTAACATTTTCCTCACAAAATGTTAATATTTTTGTGGCAGAAAACTTTGCTCTGAGACACAGTTGTTACACCAGCGCAGTCACCAGAAAGCCCTTGCGCTGCAGGGTGGCCAAACTGCACCCTGTGATCACCTGGAACGTTTCATACAAACCTCCATGCAAACGAGCATGAGAGCAGGAGACAAACAAAGGCATCCCAGATCTCCTGCTTCTCCAAGAAGAGGTAAGGAAAATCAGGAATTCCCCTTTCCCTTCCCAACCGCAGACTGCTGCAGCCAACAGCCCATTCTTCTGCGAGGGACCACGTAAGAGACCCAAACCCTGAGCCTGTCTGCTACACGGAAGGGGACAGCGGCCTCTGCTATCTGAAACTTGCTGTTTTCTTTCTCCCAGTGGGCCCAGGGGTCTGGCAACACTGGTTACTTGTCTGAAGATTGCTCCTGTTTGTCTGTGGTCCTGTTTGACTGCCCAGGGTAGGGATTCTCCAGTCCTGGGGAACTGGGAATGCTCACTTGAGAGTCAACTTGTTCAGAAAGCAGTTGTTTGGAGCTGCTCAGAGGTTGGTTTAGAGAGATGAAATCTCAGGTGAAGGATAAATCATGCTCTGTTTTTACCAAACAACATCACTGCACCTGTGGTATGTATGAAAGGGCTCTTTTTTAACGTAAATCTCTGCTAAAATGTCAGAATGAAACTGCTCTGGGCTGAAACACCTGTAATTGCTTTTCCCTTTCAAGTGGACACCTTCACAGCAAATTTAATCATTGGTTAATATTACCATTTAAATAAAATAGTGCTGCCCACTGAAAGAACCCCATTCTGCTTAGGTAGAAATCTTACTGATTTTGATGCACACCTGAGAACTGACTGGTTTTCTTTTTCCAAACTGCTCATCCCACTGACCTCTCCTACCTACTTCATACACGTGTGTTTCCATTAGTGCTCACGGTCGCTATACACACTTACAGGGAATATTCCCCACTGTGATGTCTTTTAATAAGTTATTGCTTTTCCTTCCACTCTGTTTTAAATGCGATAAATATTTTAACATGCCCCCTCTGGATAACTGCACTGGTAAAACAAGCAGTGACCAGCTACTCCTGCAGCTGCCACTTTGATTTTTCCAGGGTAAGGAAGAGTCAAATATTTATTGAGACTGCCATGCAAACTAAGAGTGAGGCAGCCCCAAATCAGTTCCTTCAGCCATGAAGGACAGGAATCACGGCTTTGAATTCAGCCCTTTCAGCCAGAGACCGGTCCTCGTAGCACAATTTAGCTTTGAAAAGAGTTTGAATGAAGAAAATTTTTGAACGCATTTCCAGCCATGGAGAGGTGTTACAACATCCAGTCCCCGAGACAAATAAAGATGGTTATTTCTACTTCATCTCAAGAGTTTTGAGCTAATGGACAAGCAGCTACCCCTGGAGGAGATGCTTGTGACGAAACTTTTTCCCTGGAGAATGGAAGTGCCTTGAAGTCACTGGGCAGGTCAGAGCTATCTGTGGCATTACAAGGAAGGCAGCCACTGCTATTTGCATTTTTCTTTTTTTTTTTAATGTGTGTTTGCCACAGGAATTCAAGTGATTTCTCCTTCTCAGCCTGCCAGAGCAGTTTGCTTTTGTGCATAAAGGAAACCCACATATATTCCCTCCGAGAGAAACACACGCGCACTTGAAAATCTGTAGCTTGGGAGCAAAAATCATTTTCTAGCAACAAACCACCACTTCTTCAGGCATAAATGCTTGATAAACATCTCAGCAGGAGACTCTGTGTCCCCAGTCAGGTGTCCTACCTTCACTGCATTGTTGAGAAGTCGATCTTTTTCTTCTAACTGCCTATGCTCACTCTTCAGCTCACTGCTTCTCTTTAATAACTTTCGCTTCTCTTCTTCTTTGACTGCGGAACAATAAGATTAAGGATGCAGAGGGTAAGGAAAGGACAGACAGCAGGGCTGTGCAGCTGACAGCAGAAAGCAGAAGCGTGTATTTGGCATGGGGAGTTTCAGGTCTCGTTAGGCTTTTGCCAGCAGTTACAGCCAAAGAAATCTGCAGTCTCTGCTGGAAAACTTCTTCACTGAAAGGGTGGTCAGGCACTGGCAGGGGCTGCCCAGGGAGGTGGTGGAGTCCCCACCCCTGGAGGTGTCCAAGGAAGGCCTGGACATGGCACTCAGTGCTCTGGGCTGGGGGACAAGGTGGGGATTGGGCACAGGGTGGACTTTATTGTCTTGAAGCTCTTTCCCAACCTCGGTGATCCTGTGATTCTACGCACGTGCCTGTGCCAATGCCTGTTGTTCACAGGACAACCCAAAAGCTACAGTCCACCTTTAAGATTAATTCAAATTCATCCTTAGACCACGTGCCTCCCAGAAAGAGGTGGATGGTATTTAAGAACAGGTCAGCCACCTGCAATGGCAATGGTTTGTGACTCTGCCGAAAAGCACAATTAAAGCAGAGTCAAAGCTCCACAGAGCTCCTTGGGGTATGATCTAACACCCCAAAAAGCCCATTGTAAGAGTGTCACAGGGAACTGAAAGAGTAATGATCAACGCACAGGTGTCACACAGCATATGATGCTAATGACTGCCATACCCAAAAAATACGGAAACAGTTGGAAGCTGGTATTGCTGTAGTGTCTGAGACATTGTGCTACACACCCAATTACAAGGCTCTGCTTAGCCTGACTGTGCCTCTCTGCCTCCCACACTATGATTCTGCCTCAGAATCCCATTTTCAGCCCCGTTCTCAGGAAGGCACCACTTTGATGACAGTCTCCCCTAGAGAGTGAAGATCCTGAGAGTTCCATCTCGGCTTCCTTTCAGAGGGAAGATGGTAAGGAGCAGATCAAGGGGAAGGGGAGGGAAAGTGGCCTTCTGTTCCTAGCCCCTTATGACCCTTTGCTTACTGCCACCCTCAGGCCTGGCAGCATTGCAGCACTACTTTAATATTACTGCTGAGAGGGACTCAGATGGCAGGGAATCCCTTGTCAGTAGCTGTGTTAATCCCTACCTGTTTTATGAGTAACATAGGAGTGAACAATAGCCAGAGTTCCAGTCCATGGCACGTTGTCATCTTTCTTTAACACCTATAAGCCCAGGAAACAGTGAAAATTTAGGACTCCACAAAGACACACGTTCATATTTTTCTTCCTTCGGCCTTACAGCTCTGCAGGACCAGATCTTGGGTCCTTGTCTCAGAACATGACAGTGGTCTCAAAGCTGAACACAGAGAACTCTAAGGCACAGCATCTACACTTTAGTGACACTTTAGTGTCTTCTTGCTCGTGCAATCAGCATTATTCACAGCAACTAGACAGATTAGCATTTCTGCCAAGACTGTGATCAACAGTTGTGTGTTAAGTAACATGATTTAAAGAAAATGAAGTGTTCTCACAGCTTTCAGACCCACTGGTGAACTCCTTCTGACACTGCCTCCCTCCTCTCCAAGGTTTACAGTCCTTGTCAGGCAGTGCTGGTGGTGTTATTATAAAGGAAAAATTGTGAAGCCAAAGGAATTGAAGGGACATTTTAATGTGATTACAGGCAAACTAAGTCTAGGAGGATGAAAATACCAGAAATGAATACTGCAAGCTGTACTAAAAGCCTCTCAGTAGTTCTGTAGCTAATGCAGTCCCCTAGGCTGGGACCATGGGTTAGATTAGTTTAGCGGTACACAAATTGGAAGTTTCTCCATTTTCCCTCCTTGGCATGCCATCCTCCATGTGTCTCACCTTCTGTTGGCACTTTGGGCAGACCCAGACCCCCTTGGGGGCAGTCTTGAGGGGTGGGTCCAAGCAGTTGAGGTGATATGCTCTGGGACAGGTGCCGCAGGGCTGCAAGTTCACTCCACGCTTGCAAGCAGTGCAGTGCTCATCGTGGTGGATCTCGTTCTGCAAGAGAAGAAGGGTGGCTTGGGTGAGCTCAGTCCTTGAGAATTTCTCTCTGTACAGCACCCCAAGCCTCTACAGCAGCAGACAGGCTCCTTCAGACACAGAATCTAATTGTCAAAGGGACCCTGACTTCTGCAGAAAAGAGAAATAATGTATGATGACAACTAATACAAACAAACAAACCAAAGGGCCAGAAACAAGTTCCATAAATTGAAAGAGAAACACAAAACTCAACTAATCCAACACAGGAGGGAGCTGACTGATTTAGCCAGTTTGTGACACGGGAATTATTGCACTTTTTTTTGCCAGTGTGTCACTCCAACACATGAATCTCTTATCTCTATCCTGAAGCACAGGACCAAGTTAACATGGGGGGACCACTTGTCCTTCAACTCCAAAGCAGGAGGGAACAAGCAAGAAAAGGGGTCTTTTCCCGGGGAAAAGGCACAGTTCCACGTTTCATGCCCGTTGCCTCAAAGAGCAGCTGGGGAACGCACAGCCTTGGGCCCCGTACCCTCCTTGTGAACTGCTCTGGAGGCCTCCTCTCTTCTCCCTGGCACTAATTGTTCTCTGCTCAGACTTACTTTGACAACCTTTCTCCAACAAGACTGATTAGTGCTTTGTCTGAAGCAATACATAAAATGAACTAAGACTCATCAACAAAGTTACAATGTCATGTAGTAAATTGCTATGCTAATCTGGTGGCAACGTTAATTACTCTTTGTATAATTAAGTGCATTTTAATAAAGGAGATACTGATTTTGAAACTCTCATGTCTTTTGAGTCATTATAAAACCCCCTGAATTTCCTACTGGTTTTTCAGGAAGGAGAATAATAATTTTATATGCTTGTTAATTCCAAAAGCATATTTTCATTTTTAGGAATATTAATTATGTTTCATGATCGTTTTAGTCAGGCTTCTGTCTTAAATTCTAACTCAGTCCTGTCAAAAAAAAAAAAAATCATTCTCCTAAATACTACTCTTTAAAAACTCCCAAAATCTTAATTTTAATCTCAAGGTACAGAGATTTAATCTATACAAACTAGAATGGTTACTCATTTTTCTTAAAATTTTCATTAAACCCACAAATCTGGAAATTAATTTCATTAAACCCACAAATCTAGCAATTTCTCAATCAGTGGATTCTACAAAAGGATTAAACTCAAGGCTTGCATATGAAAGAGTTCATCTCTGAAATTCTAGCTTAGCAGATCACAGATTCAGTTAAGTGGAACAAGAGAATACCAAAACTTGGTACCTTGGTAGAGGCTACAATAATCAGAAGCAAGCACCAAATTACACAGTGATGAGAAAGACACTGCTAATACACAAACTTCACTGCACATACCTTCCAGAATGGATCCTCATTTGCTAGCATATAAAAGAAGGGCAGAGAACAGATTAGTGGCAAATACATTGCTGGAGTGACTGCTAGTCCTCAGCTAGGGGAGCAGTTTTAGTCAGGCTGTGACACAGGAGACCAGGACATTGCCAAAGTTAACATGGGCAGGAAAGAATGCGACAGCAAGCAGTGGAATTATTAGCATTTGCGATTTAAAAACGTGCATTGCAGAAATCCCATGTCCAGAGGTCGGGTGCTAAAAGGTCACAGTACGAAGAGCACATTCTGTTTCAAATTTTCACACATTTTCAGCCAGAACTCTTCTCCACAGTAGTCAAAGATTGTTCCTTAGGGACCTGAGCCTGCTGGGTGAAGAGCAGCAGATGGCCCTGAACCAGCAAGGCAGTTAACATGGAGTATGAAATGGGTGTCTCTGACTTACTGTTAAACACATGTTTAAATGTTCAGCTGATTCATGGTCAAAATGGTCCAAAACGTGGGGGTGAGCCTGATGGTATCATCAGCTCTTCCTCATCAAACTACTCCCCCCTAAAAGGCCAGTGACCTTTTGATGAACTGAGTCTGTAGTGACTGTATTCACAGCCTGTTGTGAGCAACAACCATCAGAGCCCACTGGAAACCAGGCCAAGCCTTTCATAAAAAAAATATTGGTGGAATTCATCACGCTTCAGTCCAAAAATAAAAAAAGCTGGAACACGTTAAGAGCTTTGTGGAAACTGCACAGCAGGTTGCAATTTTTGCCGCTAATTTCACACAATCATGGACTCAGAGAATATCCTGAGCTGGAAGGGACCCACAAAGATCATCCAGTCCAACCCCTGGCCCTGCACAGACACTCCAACACTCGCACCCTGTTCCTGAGAGCGTTGTCCAAATCCTCCTGGAGCTCTGGCAGCCTTGGGGCTGTGCCCACTGCCCTGGGGAGCCTGTTCAGTGCCAACCACCCCCCGGGGAAGAACCTTTTCCTGAGATCCAATCTAACCCTGCCCTTCCCTGGGTCCTTGCATAACCCTGGTGCACACTGCCCCAGTGACTAACACCTGATGGAGAGGTCTTTCTTTGACTAAAGTGAAGAAACCAAAATGCTATTTCCCTCCTTCTGTCCTTCTTCATCTCCCTCTCCGATCCCAGTGGGAATATGCCTGCCCCAGTGTGATCCCTCATACCAGACCAACCTGGGAGTCATCTTCATGTTTATATTTAACAGCCTTTGATAGTTTTTTTTTTTTTCTTCCATAAATTTCTCTACTTTCCCCAAGAATTGTACAACACTTTGGCAAAGAGTTCCATAAATAATCACAGACCAATAAAATCTGTAGATGTCACTTCATATCCACAAATACACACACAGAGGGCCACCACAATATGACACCACGATTACTCAGGGGATATAAATGTTATTCAGATAAACAGAGGCTTGATAATTGAAGAGTCTTTTCTACAAATGATACATGTCAGGGGACATGACCTCATTTCAGGTAAGACATTTTCAGACAAATGAATCCTGATTAATTGACATTTTGATCAAAATTTACAAGAATTGTTCTCTTCTGCATTTCCAGAAATGACAGTTGTTTCCTGGACATCACAGGGATTTTTTTTTCCTAGTTTGTTTATTTGTCTTTCCAGCTCATTTTTGCTACAAAGTTTTAAACTTTTTAAAATATGTCCTCTTCTGCCTTTGAGTTGATGAAAAATTAAACCAAAGGCAATGTTTTTAAAGAAGCACTTTATAAGAGAAGGGGCAGCCATCTCTGCACTGAAGGTGTCTGGGACAGCATCTGTCTGCAGTTGAGAGCTTGCACAGCATCCAGCGTGGTGCACATGGCTAAAAACACCCTGCAGACATGGGGAATTCTGCTACAAAGAAGTGCAGCTTCAAATTCTCAGAATATGCAGAATCCCAGCAGAGATTCTGCATCCTGGAAAAACCAAAGATACAGGACTACAAAGAGGAATTAACAATTAAGGACAGGGAGTGCTGATTTCCAGGCAGCTCTGAGACAGGTGCATCACTGGAGCTCTGACACTTGTCTACTTCCTTGGAAATAAAATGGGAATCACGTGGTGGAAAGAAGGTCAGAGATTTCAAACCCCCACTTAAACAAAACCCACTCAGGGGCTCCAGAATGGCTTGCCAACACTGCCATCCTCTCCTGGTTTTTCACATGTGTTTACATGGGTAAAACAAGTGCTATGAAAAGACAAACAATAAATTACAATTTTAATTTTGAAGATAAAACTAAGCCAGGAATAATGTTCTTTCCACTGGGGCTCACATGAGCCTGGGCTCCTGCTAAGAGGGATGTCATCAGAGCTGTTTACTGTGTAATAACCTCTCCTGTCCTCTGAGACCCCACACATTAGAGGCATATGGTAAGTAGGGCAAGTGTCTGCATCTGGCACTGGAAGTTTGGAAGGGAGGGAGAAGCACTGCTGCATTTCAGTCAGGGCTCCTGTGGTGCAGGAATTCAAGGCAGGGCCACAGAGGTGAATCTCAAGCACTGAACGTGACACCTGACAGGGATGCCAAGCAAAACACTGAAAAACAGCCAAAACTTCGTGTCTTAATTATAATCACCCCTGTAAATGCTCCTAATACTGAAACAATATTTCACTTAGAAAAAGGTCTGCCTTCCTTTCCCTCTAATGCACCACAGTAGAGTAAGTTATAAAGGCAAAACAAGGGCAAGGGCAGAATCACATTTCTTTACTGGCTTTCTCTCCTCTACTCAGGCTTCTTATTTTCTTCCTTAAAATACTACCTGGCCCTGCCTGAAGAATTAAACTGCACCCAGTGTTCTCTGTGTTTCATCTCCCAGCTCTTTGCCTTCTCTATGCTGCACATTTTTCCTGGGATGGGCTTCTTCCCACAAGCTCATCATCAGCATCCCCAAATGGCTCCTCTGAGTTGTTAATTCTCGAGGCTTCTACAGTGAAACTTTCAGAACCTGAAGTTCTTATAAATGCAAGATTGGAAGGAATCTTCAAGGTCATCAAATCTAGATTTACAGCTCCAGCTCTTGAAATCAGAAAAACTACGGGGTTTTCTGTCCCTGTTTTTAAAGCAAAAGATATGGGAAATTTCTGGTCCTTCAGGATGGGCAGTAGTTCCTTAAAGCTGGTGAAAAGAGTCAAATGAAAAGCCCAAAATAGCAATTCTATTTTACACCCTAATTTTTCAATATATAATTTTAAGGACTTGGGGTTGGCAACACTGCCAGTCAGTTCTGAAGTCAGAACTTCAGCCAGTTCTCTCACTACATGGTGCTCACAATACCAGAGATCAGATTTTCCTCTGATTGCAGAGACTTTGGATCCATTTCTACACAACTGTGACCTTTAGCCTTATCCTTCAATTGTTTTTGCAGGGTAACCATCTATTTTCCATCCACACTAAAAAGCGCAGGGACCTTACACAAAGTAATGCCCTCTGGTATCCTGGCAGTAACCCAGATGAGATCCTACTAATAAACATGTAACATGCCATTAGAATAGCAGTATATTCATTTAAAATGTGCTTACCTCTTGTCGAGAGGAACAAGGGGTTATTCAAATAATTCGACGCAAGGCGCTTCCGCTGCAAGGGGAGAGAAACCAACCACAGTGTCACTGCAAAGGGCTCTGGTTGTCTTACATTTCACATTAACCATCTCCATGGGCTTCCCTCATGCCTAACCAGCTCTCCAGAAGCTACTTAGATTGGCCAATGAGACAGTCAAACAAGCAGCTGCACGATTCACCTTCCCAGCGAGTTCTTCACAGAGCAGTCGGATGTGGATTAAATGAGAAATACGAATTGCAAATGTTGTTGATGGGGCTTCAGGATACCCATAAGGGGGGAGAAACAGTGTAATAAATTGTTGCTGTGACACGGCATCTTTATTTGAATACACAGAAATGGTGACGGACTTCCCACCTGCAGGAAAATCGTCTTTACCTTTGTGACACCTGCCTACAGTTCAGAGGAACATACTGAGCTTGCAGGCAGCGTTTGTAAGCAAAACATTTCCCTTTCAGAAGTGAATGTGCACGATCCCGAGGAGCTGACAGTGATCTCAATCTGCTGAGGTCACCGAAGTTACAAACACAGGCCACTGCAAACCTGGCTGAGATGTTTAACTCATCAGATGGCACGAGTGGCTGCTCTGCAGCAAACCAGGCTTCATTAACAGTCTGTACAACCCCTGATTGTCTCTCTGAGCCATCCAATACTTGTACAGCAGGACTGGGAACAGCACCACTTCCCTCCATTAGATGTTGTTAGATTCTGCTTGGAGGAAAATCAGAGGGGTTTTGCTAATAAATGATTTATTCTGCAGTGAGTAAACGGTTCTCTTCTACACGTGTGACTGCCAATTTGTTAATGAATTTTGAATAGATACTTCTTTCGTCAAAAAAATTATCAAGCCTGAAACTTTACCCTTTCCTGTGGAAAAATTAAAAAAAGGCTACTGAGGGTAGGGAAATAGAATGGTATCTCATTTTTTCTAGGAACAAAGCTTTGAAAGGGAAAAACACAAAATTCAAGGGAAGACATAAGACCATGATCCCATTTTTGCAATCAAGGAAGTCAGCACCACTGCAGATGCTGAGCTCCTGCCGTTCTGAGGGGCGTTGGCAAATAAAAAGTCTAATTTATATGCAATTTCAATTTAAACAATCATGAATTAAAGATCATTCAGTAGACTAAATTAAACTGCGCCAAAACGCCTGGAATGCCACAAATACCTCAACTCACTGATTAGCAAATCAATCTGAGCAGCTAATTGATCAGAGAAAAACCATCTGCCTCCATTTTACTGGGATGGCATTCCCCATGGTCAGTCCTTAATGACAGCTCCTAATGAGGACACAGCTGATCAGCCACAGGACTCCTCCACAGACATTCCTTCCTCCACACCATCCTTCACTTCAGGACATGCCTTTGAGAACAGATACAATGAGAAGTATGAACTAGGGGTGCAGCAGACCTGCTCCATCTTCTCTTCCACCTCTGCCCCAAGATAACTGAGTTTCTCACAAACGCCCATCAGGCTGCAGCCACAAAACTCTGCTGCAAGTGTTTTCAAAATTCTATCAGGACAAAAAGGTCTAAGGCACTTCAGATTTAATGCTAGCAAGGCTGAGTTCCTACTGTGTTAAATAGTGGGTGAGTGGACATCAGTATTGGCACTGACGAGAAGAGTTGAGTTCTGAAGAATTCAAGTGCTGCTCTGGAGTATAAAAATCTCCAATACTTTCAAAAAAAGTGACTAAGCAGCTTGACTACAGAAGTGGGTTTCTTCTTGGCCTCATCTATCTGATGTCTGCAACAAAGGCAGAAATGTGAAATGTTGGCATACCAAAAACTCTGCGTGGCTTGTACCTAAACAAAGAAAAATCACTTTCTTTAGGCTTAAAGAACTCAGAACACAGAGAAATCCTGCTTAAATGGAGAGCTGGCTGCAACTGAGTTTCATTTCAGTAGAAAGTTCAAACAGCAACCCCAAACTGTGCTGAAATTTTAGGGGGGAAATTTTAATTAGATGAATAAATGTATATAAGTCAGTTCAGAAACAAAAAAAAATTCAGAAAAAGTTAAGCCTATTTATATGCTGCTTTTACACCAGGTTTGCAATCCAGTATTATGCAGGACCAAATTCTGATGCTACTACAAATGTAACAGTGCAAGTGTAACAGACAGCAGATATTATCCAGAGCACTTTTATTTTTAACTATGCATTATTATATTTATTATGCAGGCTTCTATGCCCCCTGCAGAGCACTCTGATTCCTGAACCAACACATCCCTTTTATGAATACCACTAATAAAAAAAGTGAAGTTCTCCATTTATTATTTGGCACACAGGAAAAGAGAAGTAGCAGTGCAAGTTTGAACATAGTACAGCACTTGTGTTCTTCAGTTCTGACCTAAAGGGACTGCCTGCGTGGGTGAAAGAGTAATTAGGTCCCACATTAATTTAGTCCTTTTGGCCTTTATTAAAACCAAGATGAATTCTAGTTTGAAGCAAGTGGTGCTGTTGGGGTGAAAACCTGTTGCTTAGCTACTGAGATGAGATCTTTTCTTTCTTTTCCACATCAATATCTCTTTTGCAAGTAACTCTGTGGTTCTGCATTCATATATATTTTTGTAATAAGAACCACTTAGAGCTTTTATTGACGTGAAATAGAGCTGTGGCAAAAAAAGTGAATGATAAAGTACCTCTGTTTCCAAGAGTCCACTGTAGGCTGGATTCGCTGTGCTTCTTCTCTTTCTTTCCTGACGCTTGCTCTGGATTTCTGTAACCATGGAAAGAAACATGAATTGTGGATTTCTCATTCATCAGGGGAAAATGCAGATCTAACTTGTTAAGCAAGATGCTCTTACCCTCAACCCCTTGGGCTTTTGTGTTCAGTTTCAGTTTCTAAAGTATAATTGGGTTGCATCAGCATTGATATTTGCTGCAGTTCAAGGTTTGACATTAATAAGGTTTTCCTTCTGAGATTCAGAACACGGGCATTTTTTATTTTTTCCTTCCTTCAAGGTGGACTTCTGCTGCCCTACAAGATTTTTATTATGAACACTTCAGACACATATTCAGCAAGCATCATCAGAGAGCTGTCAAAGCACTCTGGATGTCTGCTATTAACAAAAAGGAAGCGTTTAAAGCAATTAAGCCTTGTAATTCCCATCATATGAAAGCAGAGAGATCCTTTTTTTAATTCAATTTACATTACTTTTCCTCTGTGGAGGCTGGAGGAAGAATGGTTGGCATGGCTTGGCTAGATTCATCAGCCATGTGCATTCCTCTGTAAACACACACAGAAAGAAGCAGCAGATTACTCAACCACAGAAATCTGCAGGTTTAATGCTATTTTTATCTGAGCTGGGATTCCATTTACATCACATGGAATTTCTTTCTCCAGCTCATGACATCAGTTCAGAACGGTGAGATTTATTACAAATGTATCTTGTAGAGCCCGTTACTTTGATAATGAAGAGCAGACACACTTCAGCAAGGAGAGCCCCCCAGCATCCATCCCACGACTTAAAGCATGTGCTCTATTCCAAAATGTTTCCTATGTGAATATTGTAAGTTTAGACTCCGTGCTGAGGTGCCAGAGGGATCTTGTTGGTCTAAATGTCCCCACAGTGGTGGGGACTCTGTTCTGTCTTGCACTAAGTAAATCTCAGAAGGAGAGGAACTGGCAGCAGCCAGTCCTTCAGCCCAGAGGCCCAGGAACACACCCAACAGCAACTCAGGACACCATCTGGTTATGCAGAAGGTCTGGCATCTTTCCTCAGTGTCTGAGCTAAAGGGGTCTATCTCAGAACATCCTCAGCACCAGAACACGGCTTTCGGGATATGGAGCTCGTTCTGTAATCCAACAGTAAGACACAGTCCAGCTTTCAGGGTGGTTATGATCCATGGGAATTGGATTCCAAACACTTTGTTCTGGTTTCCAAGCACCCTTTCCAAATGCTGACCATTCCCATGTACCACTTTCAGCATTGCTACAGGAAAGGGTATCAGTGTTGTCAGTCACATCTTGGACACTTGGTCACTGCACGTGAGGATCTTGTCTGGGTAAAAGTTCTGTCCCACTGCAAAAGTCTTTCCTATGAAATGCTCATCTGTCTATGCTGAAATCTCCATCCTGAAGCTTCCAGACTCTGACAGCCTCTGAAGGGAATCAGGCCTCAGTGGCAGCAGGGTGAGTGTTAGACACAGACCCAGCAGCCTGTCAGAGCCACCAGAAGAGAGATGGTTGTTCCTGATGTCAGTGCTCTTGTAAGGGAAGCGCTCTCAAGGCTCAAAGGTAACAGATGACAGCAGAGGAACCACGTGCCTTGGTGCTGGAAAAAGCGGAGGGAGTGGCCCTCTGCTAACTCTTTGGTCTCAGCAGTGTGAGCTGGAGCTGCGGTTCTTGCAGCTCAGTAACCCAGGTACCTGCTCAGTGAATCCAGGGCTTACAGCATCTCAGCACAGCAGCCTAGAGAAACAGCTGGAGATGGGGCAGCCCAGGCTTTGTCTTCCAGAAATGATCTCAGGGATACAGCATTGTGACTTTTCACCAGCCCAGAAAAAGAAACAAAGAACTGGACGCAGCTCTCTGTGCACACAACTGGGCCAAGAGCCCCGCGAAAGGACTGCGAGGGGTCTGTAGCTCTCTGCCCTTCTCGGTCCCAAGGCAAAGAGATGGTTTCGTTGGTACATGCTCTCACCAAGGCAACACAAATATCTGAATCACACACACGGCAGAGAGCTGGAATGCAGCTCTGGGAGAGGCACTGCCACGGGACAAAGATAAAAGGTGGCTGCGGGGAGAGGAACAGCAGTGGGAATAGATGGAAATAGAGAGACACAGAGAGAGAGAGAGGAAGGAACTGAAACAGCTCGAGATGTACCACCCTATGCAGCCATAAGGTAGGGGGAGAACTTTACTTATGGTAACTGAACAGAAATATCCATGTATTTATGTACATCTAAGAGTGGGTCTGTCAACAATCACACCTAGGCAGAACAAAAGCATACACCGGTGTGGTATATTCTGTTACTTGTCACTTCTGCTAAAAACTGTTGCGTACCTTCCAAATAGGATGTAATAAAGTCAAATTAAATTTGTTATAACTGATTAAATCATAAACATTGCAGTAACCTAGGTAGAAATATTTCAGCTTTTTTCTTTGCTATAGTAAACCAAGACGTGCATTTCTGGAACAACCTGAACTAAAGGTCCTTCTTAAAAAGTTTTGCTTTCTACCTTTTTTTTTTTTTTTTTTTTTTTACACAGTGGTAATGCTAAGAGGTGTTCTAATAGCCTAGAGAAAGAGATTCAATATATTCCAGCCATGCACTGCATCACAGAATTGAGCTACCTCTTTCTTCAGTTTATTAATTTAAAAAACAGAATGCAAGCAGAAAAAAAAATTAAACTGTAATACATTTGACAAAGATGAATAAATTTGCAGACTTCTTTATATTAGAGGCCAAACTTCTATGGGCTGCTGCCTTCATCAATAAACACTCCGCATGGTCATTCCATGAGGCCTGTGATGGCAATTTATCTTCAGGGAAAGCCGCACCTTGCAGACTGTCAGTCAGCAGAAGCTGCTGAGTTCATTTACTGGGAAAGGCCTCAAAAAATGCCTCACACTCAGGCTCTGCAGAACAGAGCTCTTTCCCCAGTCAGGGAATGCTCCTCTGGCTGCAAGGCAGATGGAGAAATCCATACACAAGTGGCTCACAGCCCTTCACCACGACATTAATGAATAAAAGGAAGAAAAGCAGCAGCACTGTGAGTTAATGATACTGAGTGAATAAGCTTTTAACGACCCAATCTTGATGGAGTTTAATTCCAAAAATGTGAAATTGAGAAATGCATTAGAAGTATTAATATAAACTGAACTGTGTAATGACCACTTCTTCCTGATAAATAGCAACGGCTGATAACCATAAACATGACATAGCACTAAAATAATAACCTTTAGCATGTGAAAGCTATAAGGGCATTTCTGACAGTCATAATCACCAATTCTCATGAAGAAATACCCTTTCCATAGCAAATAGCTCTTTGTTGGAGCCATTTATTTAATGCTAGCAGGAATATAAAAAGTGAATTTGTCTGCAGGAATTGATTCTGCAGGATGAGTGTTGCAGCAGTTTGGTTCAAAATGTGCATGTCCACACTTAGTGTAGAACAAACAGTGCAGAGCAGTACTTGGCATTTTGAAAATAAGCATTAAATTTGCACAAACAATTTATTAGTTCCAATAAAATCACAGGGTAAAGAATTATTCAAAATGAAGTCCTCTCTGTTCTAAGTATAATTTGCACTTCAGCATAATTTCAAATGTTGTCCCATTTTCCTTAGACAAAGAAAACAAGAACCAGCCATCATTTGCACTTTTTGGATTATAAATCTTCTCCAAAAATTGCTGTAGCTTTTTGATTTCCATTTTAATCCATTACCATTAAGGGATTAAAAATGCCGATGGCTTAAAGTTTCTTTAAACTGCTTTCAAATTCTCAGTCACTGGGACATTAAATGATTTTCTCAAATGCAGATTTAAAGAGGAAAGACACTGAAAAATGGCAGCAAGACCCACAGAAAGCCTGCTGTGTATATCAGGAGACCTTACAATTTAGATGCAATTTTCTCCCTAATTCACAACCTGGCTTAAAACCAAGGAACAGGAAATCTTAATGCAAAGAAATCAAGGTGTAAAATGGTAGGAATCAGCAAGGGCCCTAAGCAGGTGCCTAAACTAAAGCCCATAAAACTTAGACTGAATACACTGGAACTTCCTAAGCATTTTGCTGACTGTGGTCCACCGGATGGGTGGCAAATATCAATTATCATTAACGTTTCTTGTGACCAAGAATCACTGTCAGCTGACACAGATACCACCTTTCTCTTCTTGCACTGGGGGAATCCCAGCAACTTGTCTTAGCTGAGCATGGAACTAAAACACATCAGGCTGTAGACTTTTCCTTTCAAATACTTGCATCATCTCTGTCTACAGAACTAACCCATTCTGCCAAGAAACCCCTGACACATCTCACAACAATGGCAAATTTGCTGAGCAAACTCTTTTTTCCCCCCTCTCATCCATGATTTTTCACCCCTCTCATCCGGGATTTCAGACTGACAAAGCTGAGGCAAAGAAAGGTACAAATCTGCTAGCTCTTGCAAGGTATTTTTGGGAGGCTGGAGGAGTAAACTGAAAGCTTTGCGATGCTGCATTTAGTGTCTGTTTGAACTTGTGTTCAGAAGCCTGGAAAGTTGTGCCAGCAGCTCTCAAACAAACTCAGGATCAGACTGGAAGTTTGGTAAATTTCTGGCTAAATGGGAGGGAATGGAGGGAATGAATTCTTTTTGAGAGGGAATTTTCTAATTTACTTAAATTCTTATGAAATCAGTGCTGGATTTTCATCACTATTTTACACACTACTCCGTGGAACTCTCAAGATGACAGACCTACTCAAAACCTGAAAGTCCATCTCACATGGGAGAGAGCAGATGACCCTGCTTGAGCAGGGGGCGTTGGACTACATGGCCTCCAGCGGTCCCTTCCAAGCTCACCCATCCTGTGAGATTCAGAGCAGCCAAGAGAAACTATTTCACTTCAAAACCGAGCTGTAAAACAGGATATGCCATCTTACCTTCCAAATGTTCTGTAGTAACCAGTCCTAATGCTACCATGAAGGCAATTTTCTAAGGAAAAAATAAACAGGAGTTAGATTTTCCACTACAGTAATCACGGTAAATAAATAAATAAAACTAGACTTGACAGACTTACTTGACAAACCCAGTAAAGGTCTTTTAGAAATGCATCTTACTGGATGGCATACTAATATGAAGAACTTTAATTGAAGATTTGCTTCAGATATGCCTGGTGAGTCACATCCCATTTGTACCACCGTATGAACTTCAGGAATTCAGAGATTCCTGAAGCCAGTGCTATGTGACTACTGATTTTACACAGCACAGGTTCAAAATTCAGTCAGTCCAATCAATCCAAGTGCCAGCTGGTTTGTCACTCCACTCTTTGGAGAGGTAATTGTGTATTATTATTCCTATCTGGACATGGCACTGCTATTATTGCATGTGAGCAAGCTGTATGAAGCAAAACAAGGTATCTTAAACTTCCACTGAGCTTTACAACACTAAACACTAAGTCCCTTCCTCTCAAAATAAAAATACAACAGAAATTTCTCTTCCCAAGTTACAAAAAGAACACCATGTGCATGAATTATGAAAAGAAACACTAATCCAACATTTCCCCCTAATGAGGAGTGAACAAAAATCTCCCACTGATGCTGGTGAACTCATTCTTCACGAGAAACCTGACTTAAAATACTGCTTACAACTCTTGTAAACTATGTATGCACAAAACACATCTTCATACTAAAAAAAACCTTCAAAACATGCTGATGCAGTAACAGGACAAGTACTAGAGAAGATTCTGAATTTTCTGTCAGGGATTTTTCACTGGGAACTCTTCCCTCGCAGTAAAAGTTTTGCTGGAACTTTTATTCCATCTTTCTGATGAAAACTGAAATTCTGCTGTGTTGTTCCAAGCCCAAACTGAACTGAACTCCTTGGTTTTCAGTCAATCTGAGGTATTTGTGGGGCCTCGGGGGTCTCTTCCTCTCTCTGCTGTGCTGAACAACCTTGCTGAGTCATTTCACTCCAGTGGCATTTTTGTGAGGTGCAATTCCACAGGAGAGACAATCTGACTGTCAAACCCAAACTACTGGGAAATCCAGGCAAGCGAAGCCCACAGTCCAACTCTGATGAAGTGTACAAAGACCACAGGAAGATGAAATTATAATACTCAGCCCAAATAAAATGTGTAGATTTAGGTCAAACTAAAACACAGCGTTTAAGCAGCAGCAGGTCAAAACATTCTGTTTCAATCAAAGAAGTGTCAGGAGAACACATTTCAACACTTCCAAGTCAAGATTAGTTTGACCTTCTTGTTTTGTGAAAAAGCCTGATGATTCAACTTCTCATTTCAGTTCAGGATAAAATCAACTAGTAAGTCACTGGAACTACAATTTCCTTTGCAATTCTGACTGCCACGCAGTGAAGCTGAAAGCAAGCACGTCCTTTTCGTTTTGTAAATGAAAAGATGTAACTATTGGGTGTGTCCTTCAAAATCTGAGGGTCAGGATTGGACATCCATACCCCTCTTGTATCTGTGAAAATATCCTTGTCAAACAGGTGAACTAACACCCTAATAAGATGGGAATATTTTCTCTCCACAATCTCCTGGTGTATAACTCTCCCTGCAGATTAAAAAATGGTGCCGTAGAATTTCATCACTGGCATGAAATATATATTCATGCTGTACTTCTGCCTTCCACAGCCGTGGTAATGACAAGTGCATGTGTTCATTTGCATGTCAGACCTTGATTTCAATAATGTTCCCTCCCTTACATGCCTAAAACACCAGCCAGGCACAGCGGGGGCCCCACACCTGAAGGGAAAGATGAATATTTGATCCGAGATCCACTGTGCAGATCTGATAAGAAAATTAGTCAACTGAGGGGAATTACAAGCTTCACCTCACCCCCATCAAAAAGTAACCGTGGCAGGATAAATCTCAGAGCTGGGAGCAGGAATAACAGCAACATTTAGGTGTAGAACCACAAAGTTGGAATGGTTAATGTGCAACTGTGTGTTTCCAAGGGAGCACAGAATTGCCTGTGTTACCCCAACTGTGGGGGAAACACACATTTTCTGATGCCTGAACTCAAATTATTTGAGTACTGGAGTGTTTGCTAAACAATATCCTCTCTTTGTGCTAAAATTATATGAATACGTAGCCAATTAAATGTAATGACAGTTTTACATATAAAGAGCTATCACAAATGGACTTGATAATTATCTCATGATTAAACACAGGAAGGGTTAACATTTATAGGGATTTGAAAGTTGGTTCCTTTTTAAAAAAATCCCAGGAGAAGCTGTATTCTTTTTAACATGCATATTATCTTAACAGTATATTTGTTTTTATGGGTTTGGCTATTTCACACTTCCGTAGCTCGTTGGATTCAATCCAAAATCTGAATTCCATTGCAATGCTTTCCTTTCAAGTGTCACAGTGCCTGTTGTCTCTCCTCAGTTCAGGAAGCTGCAAAACCAAGACTTCAGTTTCTCCAGCTTTTCAATCCAGGCCTGACATCAGCATTTAGTTCACAACTGCTATGTATCTCTCTTGCACTTCTTAGATGGGATTAGAAACACTGGTAGAATAAAAACCCAGCATTTATAGCAGTAATTTTTCTCTTAAATAAAAAACTTCTAGAAGGCAAACATTGTCCAGGATCAGCTTCATGGTTTCCCACTAGGATGACCAAGCCAGGAACCAAAGACAGTGATCATCCTCACTCTTTTCTGTTCATTCAGGTACACTCAGTAACTGCAGATGGGATTCCTGGCTACTAGTAAGTCTCAATCTTTCTGGTTGGTTTGCTTTAAATTTTCAGTTTAATTTGTTAAATCCCATTCTGTCCCGACTAACATCTATCTACACAGAGTCCTATTGGAGTTCCTGCCTCAGTTTTGTGCTTTGAAGATAAATAAAAGCTTGAAGAGAAGTGCCTCGAGTGCCTATTTTCTTTTTAAAAATATCATGGCATCTTTGTTACTCTTTGCTTTAAATTTAATCATCTGCTTAAAAGCCATGAGTGCTTTCAGAAACACACAGTACGTCTTTTCATGAAGCAAAACAAAGATTTTCACAAAAGCATTTCATTTTGTAATTACATGTTCTATTTATGTCATTACATGTATTTACACTAATTATGCTGTTAGTTCTAATTGCACTAATTGCATAAATACATGATAATCAACTAAAGTTTACTTTCAAAGAACAAAAGAAATTAACTCTAGACCTACCTATTCATGGCTATGAAATAAATCTATGAAAAGAAAAGAACTGTCATACTTAAGGGCATCAGCATCCTACCCAGAACAAAGAGCCTGCTGAGACCTCCAGGATATACAGGGTAGGAACAATGTTCATGGGCAGAAAAAGGTCGTTGAGATATTCTAGTTAGCAATTAAAAAAGCTCATTAAATTTATGGATGCCATACCGAAAAGTGGGCCCAGGCCCATCATCTCCTCCTGCATCTCTCTGGAACACTTTTGTCCAATATTCTTTCCATGGAGATTAGTTACAGGCAAGGAAAAATGGATGTTTTTTCCTAGCATTCTGTTTTTAAGCAGGATCTACTGACCTTTCTGTCCATAAGGTGCTACAAAATTAATAAGGTTTTGGAAATACCTGCCTAAAGAAAACAGGACTCTACAGTCCCATCATTCAGTGGCAATGAAGATTCATATGAGGGTCAGATTTTAAACCTGGGAGGTCTCCTAAGTATAGTCCTGCAGAGCTTCTGCATAAAGCTGTGATATTCTGGGCTAAAATATTTATCCTTAACACTGTTTAACTACATGAACCTCTTAAAGTGGTAAAACAAATGACCACCCACATGCCTCAAGTAACATTATAAATTTATATTGAATAATCCTCTTAAGCCTACAGCTCCAAGGATGCTTTTGTGCTACGCATTTATTAGACTGGTGAGGTTAAGATTTCACATGACCTGAGCATTTCTACAACAGAAGTAGATTCAGCTTGTATAACTCCTTAAACTGCCTCAAAAGTACACCCAATCTAATGTGAATACACCCAGACAAAAACCAAAATGTCTGCTAATGAGAGACACCATTTCTACAAGGACTTGTGGTTTGTATTTTTAGCTGAAATAAAAAATATAGTATATTAAGAATATTAAGAATATAGTATACTAAATCTATTTCACCTTATAACCTGCTTTCTGCCCTCTTACTCAATTTGAAGGACTTTAATGTATCTCAGACCAGAATCTGTGGACATGTGGGAAGACACAGTTGAACACAGGAAACCGTTGATAAGTACAAACTAAAAGTTGCAAGATTCATTACAAAGAAGATAAAAGAAATGTTAATTCCACCTCATATGTGGCCTGTAAACCCAATGCTATATATTTCATAACAAAAGAAAATATCTTAAGCTTGTATACACCTTTCACAAGAACTCCAAGGTGCCAAGATTATTATAAGACCTACAAGTTCTGTTACATTTTGTGACATAATTTAACCATAATGGAGCTCATTTATTAAAAATGAAAAAGAAAAAAATCACCTCTGGATTTTCCTCCTTTTTCTTTTTGGTAGCAGGGGGTCCCTGAGCTGACTCTTCAGGAGGTTTCTTTGTCTCCACTTTACTTTCTGTCTGGGTTTGGACTTGAGGCTGAATAATGATAACCTAGAAGACAATGTACAAATAAGAGAATTCACTACATGAAATTGGATTTTTCTGCCTGAAACCTTGGATTCCTCTTTGCAGGGTTACTTCATACCCCTACAGCAAAGAAATGCAAGTCACAAGTATAAAAAAACCTGGATACTGGGTTTAGCTCCTAAATCCATACTAAAGTTTCTAAAAATTAATTTTTATTGGTGCATTATAAAGCTCCAGCAGCCTAAGGGAGTCACTCAACCAATGGCTCTGAAAATGAGGACACTTTCTATCTGGAGGACTTCTGAAGCTGGCTGAGCAGCCACGCTCTAGCACTTGTGGTATCAGGGATTTTAAGATCTTTCCTTTGATTTTATTCTGTGTACAGGTAGAAGAGAAGGGATCACTACACACTCAGAGCCAATCTGACCTCAGTCACACCAGTGTTATTCAGGGTAAGCACCTGTGGATGGGAAGGAAAACACTCCTCATGTAACTGAGATCAGAGTTCACCCCTTATGTGTTCTGAGCACTGGATGTCCAGTTTTCCATAAACGAAATAAACTACACATGTTTTACATCAAAACCAGCTCTGGTTTAGGACCTACAGGAATTAGCACACAGATCTCTCATACACCCAAGTGTGTGTTAGTAACTCCAGCTGCTCCTATTTGAACTACCACATGAAGATTTACCCAGTCCAGGTCACACTACCTCAGAAGGTATTAAGTTAAAAGGAATGAAGGACAATTTCTACCCACGTGTGAGTTTATACCTGTAATCAAATCTTCACGAAGGACTGTGGAAGATTTTCCTAAGCTCACCTTCTTGACAAATATTAAAAATATTAGCTTTGAATGCTGGGCCTTCTCCATCTATTTCATTCCTAACTTTCAATCCATGCTATTTATTGTTAGAAACTTTATCTCAGCTTGGTCACTCTAGAAGTTTCTAGAGCTTAAAAAGAGATGGTTTTCTTAACCAGTAGCCTTTTTAAGCAGCAGAAAAATAAATTATGGTTAAAAAGTGGGGAAGAGATGTCTGCTCTTATTTACCTCAAAAGCCTTCCTACATCCTGTATTCTTTTTTAGCACTCTGTGAGAACCTGTGCTGCCAACAAGACCCAAAGTAGGGGAATCCCAGGAGTAAATTGCAGTGAATGTCTGCTGGGCACACTGGCAGCCTTTAGTAAATTTGTTTCTGGTGTAAGAGTGGTGAAGTTCTTGCATTTCAAAGCTGAAAAGCAGTACAAAGAAGAAACAAGTAATTCATAATTTGAATTTTTTCTACTGATTCCTGTGCTGATCAGTTTTGAAACTCTGAGCTCTCATTTCATTTGGTGTTCCCCTGGAAGTGCAGAAGGGAATGCCTGATTATTTTATACACTCCCCCGGGGTCAGCCAATGTAACTTGTATCACTGTGTAATTGAAGAGGGAGTCCATAGGAAATCTGAGCCTGCATAGAATTCAGGGATATTATTAGCAAGGTTTGGTTTAAGGAAATGGAAGATCATATGGTCCCATTAATGTCAGGTTACACAATGATAAGTTTTGTTCCCACTAAAAAATAGGCTTGTAAAGAGACAAACGTCTCTTGGCACCTCTGTGTCCCCTGAAGAGTTTTCCCATTGCTTTCTGATTATTTTCTTCAACAGGAGCCACTGCCACCACCTTCTTCAGAGGAGCCACTGCCTCCCCTCTGCCCAGGGCTGTGCACTCCCAGGGGAACACCCTGCTTGCATCTGCTGTACTTGCTGCCCAAAAGGAGGTGAAGAGCCCACCTTGCTGTCGGCGCTGATGAGGAGCGGCTGCACTTTGATGCTGTCGTTGACCACGGAGACGGTGGCGCTGGTGCTGAGCGGGGCTGCATTGCTGGGGGAGGTGGAAATGATGGCGTAGGCCACCCCTGCACTGCTCAGAGGGGAGGACAGGGGCTCGGTGACACTCTGGGACTGGCTGTGGGGCGTCTGTACATGGCTGACGGTGTTGTTGGCGGTCGGGAGGGCAGGGCTGGGGTTCTTGATGCTCACTACGGTCGCCTTCTGGAAGGTGGGAGGCTGCTTGGAAGGTTGGTCTCTGCACGGGGAGATGGGGAGGCTGTCTGGAATCAGGGTCTTTGGCCTAACCTACAAACAGAGAGGTAGATGTTATTAGGCACAGACTCCCACTGTCATGAACAAACCACTTCACACTTGCATTCTCACAATAAAACCTCTAGTTACAATAACCATGGACCAGGAGCATCTGGAAAAACATTGCATAGCAACTGGAAGTAGCCAGCCATTCATTTACTTGTAGGTATAGACTCACAGGATATTCTGAGTTGGAAGGGACCCACAAGGGTCATCGAGTCCAACTTCGAACTGAATGGCCCACACAGGGGATTGAATCTGTGACCTTGGTGTTCTTACCACCAAGTTCTAACCAACTGAGCTCGTCTCAGGGAACAAACACTGCTCACTCGCTTTCTCCCAGCAGGATCTCTGGTTGCATTAACCATGGACCAGGAGCATCTAGGAAAACATTGGACAGCAACTGGAAGTAGCCAGCCGTTCATTTACTTGTAGATATATTCCAGTGCCTCTCAGCTGGGTCATTTTGGAATCCTTAACTCATCGCAGTGCTGAACAAGAAGGGAGGGAAAAAGTCAATTCCTCACTTTTATTAGTGCACATCCAGACATATGTTAGTCAAGTCACATCCAGTTCTCAGCAGGGATGTGTAAGCCAAAGCCTGGACAAAGAATGGAAAACCCAAACACAATAATTTCCTATTCTGAAGGACACAACACTCTTGCTATGAATTAAGGAGTAGGACTGAATCGTTAAGGGAGTTGTGGGGTTTACAGGAACAGTAAAGCATATGCCTTTATACTGGTGCATCAGTGAATGAACATCCTCACATGTTTAAGATGTGCCACGTCTAGTGGAGATCAATCACACAGTCACTCAGCTCACAAAAAAAAAAAAAAAAAAAATAGAGAGATGGACACAAGAAACCTACAACCATCAAACTTCATCTTTCGTTGTTGCTGCAAGTAAAGCCAGTTTGCAGCTGTGGGTGGATGCAGGGGCAGCTTCCACGGGTGGAGGAGGACACTTTGCCCCGCTCTGCCCAGGCTGGGGCTGTACCCAGAGCCATCGCTGATAGCTGGGAACAATTGTTTTCAGCTACCGCGGTGTGTTTCCAGTGGGGTAATTAATGTCACCCTGTCAACACGGCTCTGCCTTAACAACACGTTAAGTACAGTTCCAGGATTGAAAATAAATAATTTAAGCTGCTTCACATGAAGTTAACTTCACTCCCAGCTCATTCGTTAGCACGGCCAGATACAACAGTCGGTTCCCTCTGTGCTTATTTAGTCCTGTCACTTCTCACACCTTCCATACTGTGAAACAAAATGACAAGTTGTAACAGACAGACATGGGGAACAGCTGCCTGTGTCACCACACTGGAGTCTACAGGAGCCCTTCCAAGGATGCTGACTTCAATCTCGAGCCGGAGGAAGCAATTTAATGCAAACACCGGGATTTACTGCTGGGCACAACATCGTCTCTCCAGGCTGGCCATCATCCTCTACCTCACCAAGGAGGAGCTGAACCCATTTGTCCCCACAGCAAACATTAAGTGCAGCAACAAAGCCAGGGAGCTGCTCTGATGGGCTCACAGCTCTGGGGTAACACTGGAAAGCCTCAGAGCCCCACTGTGAAAGGATGAAAAACTACATGAAACTCCAACTAACCGCAGTCAGGGTACATTGAAGGGTTCTCTGCTCTTTGTCTTTATCCAAGCACTTTATATAATTATTATCTGACTTATTCAGCTAAGACATGAGACAAATATCCTGGCCAAGTTGTTTAAGGGAGGACTCTACTATTAACTTCATACCCATAGTTAGTTAATGGCCTTATTTTCAAAAGTAGTGCACAGAGGATTGGTTCAAACTCATTTTGGCCCAGGCACTGTGCAAAACTGGGGCTTCTAACATAAACATCAGCTCAGTGCAATAGGAGACATGATACTCAAAGCAATTCATTCACGTCTGTAGCAGTGATACAAGCAGATCTTGTAATATCTGCTTTTACATTTTCATAATAATGTCCTTTCCCTCCCATGTTAAATCTTATGTAAGCCTGTCATATGTGAGCCTTTAACCAATTGCTTACGCTTGTGTGCTCAGAGACATGTTCACAGAAACAGTATCATTACCCAGAAAAGGAAGTCTGAGAAGCTCAGGAAAATACAGTTAAAATGTATTACCATGGACAAAAAAAAAAAAAAATCCAAATTTAATTCTTAGCTGCTTGGCTATAGTCTAAATTTCATCATCCTTCCTTGAAACAAAACAATTTTCTTGTAAATTAATCTAACATCTGCTACAAACAGAAATACTGTAAACACACAGATAAGCACAGAGAGAGAGAGAGAATACAGAGCAGTTCAGATCAAAGATTCAATAGAACAGTCATTAGGATCTTTAGAAAAAATCAAGTCTGACAAAAAAAATCAGCTCAGGAGTTTTTCTAGCCAAAAACTGTCATGTCGTCTACCAGGATCTACTGTATCTGTCACTCTTAATTGCACTTTTATATTTAATCAAAAAGCCTAATTAAAGCTAAATGCCTATATATATTCCAGCTATATAATTATGTCTTCTGCACTACTGCACGTACATATTGACTGTCAGATGTAACACCTCAATGAATCCTACCCACACCCGCAACACGCGTCCTGCGAGCTGGGGGTGAACACACGTCACCCTCGCTATAAAAATAAGCTCTCCCTGCACAGACAATTAAACAGACTTAATTTTCCCAAGTACTAAATCCTTCACGAAGCCCTGCACGCCGGAATTACCCGACAGGACTCGCCGAAGTGGCGCAGCACAGAACATAGGCCGGGCGCCTTCTGCCCCCGTGTGCTGCACAGGAGGAACAGCCGCTCGCACGGGCTATGGAAATTGCCCGTGGAAATATGGAAATTAAGGACAATGGAAAGGGTTGACTGGGGGGGGGGGGGGGGGGGGGGGGGGGGGGAAGGTTTCAGGTGCTCCCGAGTTAAAGCTAAAAAAAAATTTAAGCGGTAAATGATTTCTACGGCCCGCAGGTGCGAATCCGAAACGGAAAGCAAACATAGAAGTCCCTGTGCTACAACACCTGGGAATGTTTCCCCCTCAAATATAAACATTAAGGGCAAGTATTTAATAAACAGCTCCGTGAGGGACCTTTGGCAGAGGGTCACCTTTACAAGCAAACTGCTGCAGTAATCTGTGAGGACAAATGGTGTCACCTGAGAACAACAAACAAAATAAGGAAAGAGTTAGTGTAAAATCCTTTTCCACATGGCTAAACTGTAGCTTAAATTTGGGAGGTGAAAGGAGGACAGTGGCAGTAGCAAAAGTTTGGAAGCTGACAGTCACTGAAGAAGGGCTGGAATAAAATTAGGGACTGCACATGCACAGTATCACAAAAATGTCTCCTCCTGAAAGTAGCACGGGTTGGATGGCACCAGTCCCCGTCACAAGAGCCCCAGAAATAAAAGGTGCAAAAGTTGAGCAAAGGAGAAGAGAAAGAATAACAGACAGAATGTGTGTTACCAAGTGAAAACTGCAACTGTTGGCGAGCGCCGCAAATAACAATTCTCCTGTAGCTCAACCCTCCTCTCCCCAAGTATCTTTCATTTAACTTCTGACAGCTGTCAAAACAGAATGTGATACTACCAGGGCTCAAAATGCACAAGAAGAGAGAGCTGCTTCTTGAGTATAATGATTTCCCAAACCTGTGTTGCTCTCGAGTTTCCTCAGTGGCCACAGCACCAGAAACATTTAATTCCGGGTGCTCAGCCAGCCCTGGTGCTGCTCAGACAGCCTGCAGGTGAGGACTCTTTTCAAGAAGATGTTCTCAGACCTGGGCATTCACTGTCTGCTTTTCAGACAGGGAACTAACGGGGAGCCCAATCCTGTGAGATGTGCAGAGTGATCTTATGTTCAACAGCCTCTAATTTAATATATTTTAAAGAGTTTTAGATGAGGAGGGAATCAGCTGCTGTGACTAATACCACTTCTTGTATATCCCATACCATTAAGCTCCATCCAGATGTCACTGCATGAAGCTCAAAGGCTTCCCATTCACCAAAACATCACTGCACTCTCAAGAGCACAAATTGTTGAATGCTGCAGAGTGCTGGAGGTGGGAGAGCCTCATGTATGTCAGTGTGTTGGGTTTGGCTGGGTTTGACAGGGTTAACACCAATGACAAAGGCAATCTACTTCCTGGGGCACATCCCACCAGGGGAGTTGCTCCCGTGCTACAATAAAGAAAAATATGGGAAAAAGAAAACCTCTTACAAAACAAGCCCTCAAGATCCAACCCAAACAAGTATGGGGGGAAAGGAGTAGAAGGGAAGGAAAGCACACAATTCCCCCCATCTCTGTGGGCAATCCCCTGTAGCCCTAAAGGACAGGATTTAATTAGAACAGTTATCTCTGCGCAGATCTGCGGGTGCTGTGAGAATTGTTAAGGGCAACTCTGGTAAATGTGTTCTCCTTCAGGCCTAGCAAAGAAGAGAAGTTAACAAGTGCACTTCAATTACCAAACCAAAGGGGATCACCGTGATCCTTCAGCTCCCAGGCTGGCCTTAGAATTTCTCCCAGAAACCAAAGACTGATTTTAAAAGAAAATACTATAAAGACCTTAACGACAAATTCATCACCAGCACCAATAAATTGCTATAATATTTTATTATGCTCATGACTGGCATTTTATTGCAAGGTTGAATTTGCCTAACTTCAGCTTCCAGTCCCTGGATCCTGCAATAGCTTTGTCAGCAACCCTGGAGAGCCCTCCCCCTCCCCTGTATCAGATATCAGCTGGATCGTGCTCAGCATCCATCAGCCCTTCCTACTGGCAGGGCCGATCTGTAGGAGAGTAAATTTTTCAGCTCAACGCAATATCACATTGCCTTTGAGAAAAAGACCATTATTCACACTTTATTTTCACTTCACCCTTGTACTCGGAGCTTAAAAACAAAAACCCAGAATGGATTTGGCACAATTCATATGTCACAGAGGCAAAGTGCTGGGAGCAGCAGACAGAGCTTTCATTCTTGAAAAGCTTTAGAGGATCAC